ATTTGCTGGTCGGGAAGGTCGATCCGACCGACGACGCTTGGTTACGATCCGAAGAGCAGCACAGACAGTGACTAAAGGAACTATACCCAGCAACCCTTCGGCGACAGTGGGTAGGTCTCAACACGGGAGACTCACAAAGTACATGATTTGGTCATCTTCAATCGGTGATGGGATGTTATGGGTGAATTCTCTTTGGCAATATATTCAATAGACGCTGTCCATGACCCTATGTTGTTTGTATATGTTTGTATATTATATATAATATACTGCATGTGTCATGTTTGCAGCATCTCCCACCCTCTGAGACCAACCCCTGTCGTGTGTGAAAATGGAAGTCGTGATCTCGTGCCAAAAGGCCCAGCGGCTGTGACATGTGACCGTGACGATTGGAGGGTTTGTGACCATAAATTTCACCACTGGGCCACTGGCCCGCCTGGGCCGCTGGCCCGGCTGGTGCTGGAGCGACGTACTGAGTACTTTGATCATTGAAATGGGTTGCAAGTTCCAGGAGAAGTCGGATTTCTTGGGACTGTACCGACATTACACACTGCTTGATCGCTCTCTCGGTCCCGGTCTATTTTTGGAATGACTCAATGACTCCCAATAATTAAACTGTACTACATCTATATAGAGGCTTGTCTTGTTGCAACCGATACTTTTCTAATTGGTAAGGGAGTCTCAGGACTTGTGAGAAAGGCCGCATCCCCGCGAGAATCTTTTTGGGTCAGGGTAGTTGAAAGCCTCTGCGGCATGGCGTCGCATCAGTGCCCTCCACCATGGTGCGATGTCTCTGACACTTCTGAGGAGTGCTTCCTTCAATCTATTCATCTCTAATATTCGTCAGGCTCTATCTCTACCCCCTCTATCCTGAGTCTCCCTGTTCTACTTGTTAGGAAGAGCCTTTGGAGCAAGAGGAGGTGCCAGCCCGTGTCAAGAGGTATTTGGAGGTTGGACCCCTCTTCCTCCAGAAATCTGGACTCTCGGACGCACGCTTTCCAAATCGATGCGTCTGGGTGCAAGTGAACTAATGCTGTTTTTAAGACAACAACCCAAGGGCTGGCCGAGTGGTTCAAAGCACTCCCCAAGAAGAAGCACGTCAACTTCGTGTCCGACTGCCACTCGGAGATGTTGTCAGGTCTTCTATGATCTTCTTAAGCCCCCAGTCACCCTATTGTGCCTATTTGTGCCCTATCCAAGGCTCAGGTGCTGAGACACCGTTCTTGGCTTTGGGGATGTTGTTCGGCGCATGTGGGCGTGCTGAACAACTAAAACACTTGCCAGGCTCCAAGCCTTTCACAAGTCCCCTCAGGCATACCGCACAAGGAAACCTTTTTTTGACACCTGCTCAGGTCAGCATCTGAGATTCATCCAATGAAGCGGCGGTTCTTGGAACAGAACTTTCCAGAGTGTGAGCAGAGACTATCTTGCAAACAATAACTACTCACCCTCTACCGAGCTATATTCGTAATATAGAATATATATCCTTATCGGCCTAAGGATTGCCAGCGACATGTTTGATCAGAAGAAGCAACAGTTCAAGTCTGCTTCTCGACAGCAATGGCAAGTGAAGTCAACAGTGTTTTTTTTTGGTGACCCTTGATGAGATCTTGAAGGTCGAAGTGTACTGCACGGGGTTTCCGTGCACCCCGTATTCACTTCTCAATAATCATGGTGCCCTTCTTGACGATGACAATGCTCGACAGCTGTTCGAGACACTCCGACGGATCAAGAAACACTCTCCGAAAGTGGCTTGGCAAACTTGTCGACTTTGTAAGTCCCGGTAGTTTGAACCTCACTGATCTATCCAAGCCCGTCCCAAGGTAGTGGTGATGGAAAACGTGCTTGGATTCCAGCGATGCCTTCCTACAGTGATGGAATGGATCGAAAAGCACCTCAAACAGTGTCTTGGCTTTCTAATCACTTTGACTGGTTTGACCGTGGAAACTGTGATGTGTTGTTTATAGATTGAACTGCAGGTACCACCTGCGCGCCAATATCTGTGACCCGCCACTTTGCTGAGTACTTTGCTGAGTTAGAAACTCAGTTTCTGCAGTTGTTCGCACCAAAGCTGCTCAGGCTTCATTTTGGGTGCCCATTGTCCCGCCGGCGCATATACATTGTGTTGGTGCGGAAGGATGTATGCCAACGAGCGATTTGTGAGGAGAACTTTTGTGAGTACATCTTGAACAAGCTTAAGTCAATGGAGTGCAAACCCGAAGTCACATGGTGGTTTGCCTATGATTACGATGTCTTGCAAAAACCAATCGTGTTGCAACCAGTGGCATTTTGCTTTCCAAGCCCAGGCAAGATCTCCTTCTGCCAGAAGACCATCCTGCTGTAGTGAAAGATTTGGCTGCCCGTGAAATGGCCCGAATCAGGACTGCAAAAAGGTTGCCTGGCTTCTATTATTGGTGTGTTTGTTTGCAACTTATGAAAAGTAGGCTCTACTTATTGCGCCCTACTATGTTTCTCAGGCCTTTGAATCGCAACGCCAAATGGATCAACCGCCACAAGCTTTGGGCCAAGCACCACAAGGCAAGTTAGGTCCAATTCGAGTTTCTGCCAACACTCTTCTGTGCAGGTTGGACTGCGTGCATCCAAGAACCAGTTCAAGAAGCGATATCCTCGAGCTTGGCGCTATGTGACCAGCAAGAGGGAAGTCGAGGCAGGACTGGCTTCTCAGTTGGGAAAGCTGAGCCATGTGGGACCCTAACCATGGACTTTCTCATTTCTTTTCAGGAAAGCTGAACCATGAGGGGGGACCCTAACCATGGACTTTCTTTCTGTAGGCTTTGGATCTCCTGACCATGAAGCACCGCTCCTTTGCAGTCGCCAATACAAGTCAATCTTTGCTTCAAATGCCAGTGAATGTGGCCAAGTCCAAGCCACTGCCCTGCCTCACGTGCTTCCCTCGCATTGAATGAAACGATGTGAAACGTCTCTAAAATCTCTAATGGCACAGCTCTTCGCCCAAGGCCAAATGGCAAGTGGCTTATCTTGGAGAAGGAGCGCTTCTTAATTGGCCGTGAATTGATGCTGTTGATGGGGATACTCACTTATCGGCTGCAAATTAACAACTTGCCAGAGTCTGCTCCTTTGTCTACATGTCAATGCTTATTTTGTATTTCATCTACCTTGGAACGCTTGGAATCCAGGAACCTCATTCCAACATGAACAAATCTAAGGTTTTGCACTCGCTGGGAGGAAATGCTATGTGTCTTCGTGCCGTCTTGGTAAACTTAGCTGCTGCATTGTCAGCAACTGTGCCATCAAAGATGACTGGCAACTAAGTGTCACAAAGCATCGGCCTGACAGGTGCGCGGTGCAGGGAAAGACTGTTGACTCCTCGTGTTTTAGTTGTTTGACAGTCGAACTGTCCACTGTTCAGTTCACATTCCAACACCTGCCTGCCTGGTTCGAAACAGTACACCACAATAGTTCTGTTCGTTCCTTTGCCATCAGAATTGTTATAAAATCTCAACTGACTTCAACCTTTTGACTTCAACCTCGTAGTTTACCTGTCACTCGTCTTTTTGATACAGTTTCCTCACATGCCGTTTCTTGGCCGTTGGGATCCGGATGGCTGTCTACACAATGGAGTTCCAGGGCTTCAAAGGTTTGAAGATGATGATGATGATGATTCAACCGGTTCTTCTGATTCGTGTCTGGGTTGCACCCGAAGTTCAAAGCAACAATGCACCAGTGTACTCTGACCATCTTGTTGCGTTCTTAAACCTGTGGGCAAAACAAGGAGTGGTGATGCTAATGATGGTCATGATGATGCTTCCTCCAGTGGATCAAGCAGCTCTGAGTCTCACCAAACAGGGATTGGTTACATTGACCTTACCATAGAGCGGCTCCAGAGCATGCAAGTTGTTGCATCTCACCATGATGATGCGGAGTTTTCAGAACATGCAAAAAACGGAAAGTCAGGTGATCGAATCCGTGACATCCTTCGACGCCCTAAGTGCAAGTGCCGCTGCGTTGTCAATTTCAGGATCTTAATGAAGATTTGCTGCATGTTTTGGTCACTGTCCAAGTCAGGGCAGGACACGGTACTGTGGACAATCCAGCAGGGCAGTGGAGGCAAGAAGCAGTGGCACATAGAAGGACTTTTGCTTGGCCTGTTGTGGAGTCAGCAAATTGTGAAGTCAGCACATTTTTCGGTCCATCAAAACTCAAAGTGGCCTGTCACTGCGAGGACTTCATGTTTGCAAGGAGGCCTGGATGGCTATGCTCGCAGTTGGACGGAAGAGGCTGCAACGATGTCGCAAAACATTTGGGGGGAAAGATTTCCGGACCTTAGGCAGAGCCTTTGCTTGGTATGGAAAAGCTGTTCACATGTGAAGCAGTTTTGCACTTTGGCTTTCAAGCATCGAGTTGGAATGCAAGAAAGGACAGTCAGAAAGACCTGCCATCATGAGCGCGAGTGTTAAATCCTTCATGCTCCACATGTATTGGACTGCTGGGGAGGCAATGGCCACAGAGACCCTTGCATGAACAAGTCTGGAATCGAGTGTCAGCTGTCCACTATATTCTTGATCAAAGCCAAGCCAACACACAAACACTGTCAGGATCGCCAGCAAAAGCTTGCTCAACAAGTCCGATAGTCAGCTGAGAGATGAGCTTCTTGACCGCTTGGTCAATGCCCAATTGATGGGTGGCTCTATGCAAGTCACGTTCAACAGTGACCCGAGCAGGCTCCCTGCCCGGGAGATGCCTCACGGAAACTGGAGTACTTTGTTTTTGATGTACAAGGCATGGTGTGCTGTCAAGAAAGAACAGGCAGCTTCGCGTGCGACCTTCTTCAATCAAACTATTGCTTGGCGCCAATGCCTGAAATTCCGGCAACCTAGTCACCACGCGCAGTGCCTGACTTGTGCCAAGCTTCGCACACAAATACAGGAATCCAAAGAAACTTGGATTGGAGCATTCTGCCACTACCATTTAGTGTTCATTTATTAATTAAGTCTCTACGCCTTGTTGAAGATAAGGACTACATGACGCACGCGAAACTCTCGGACCAACTACTCCATCACTTCACCCAGTCCTTCAGGGACAGGGAAGTTTACTGGCTAGCCAGAGAGCGATCCAAAGTTCAGAAAGACATCTTAGTAATGATCTTGGATACCTTCGATCACGCCAAGCTGTCTTTGCCAAAATGGCATCGCACACCGAAGCGCGCATTGTACGAGAATACCAGACGCACACTGGATGAACATAAGATCATTGTGTTTCAGTTTTTTGCATGTGAGGGAGGCTTCACTGTGGACCTTGGGCATTGAAACAAGGTACTCAATTAACCTTGACGGCAACGATTGTGCACGGGTACGGCGTGTATATGTTTATTGCAGACGAGGGTCAAGCCCTGGGTTCCAACTGGACTTTTGAGGTGGCGCCCAGGCCGCCCTTAAATAGTTAGTGAGATTCGTGTCTGGAACAACCTGGAATGATGACATTCCCGGTTCATGAGGCCATGCGCTCCATCGACAAGGCATGGAAGCAATCGCGGGTGAAAGCAGCTCCGTTTCCAACAGAGTTGCTTGTCAGCAGTTTAGTGTAAAGGCCCTTCAGTGAATCAATCATCATTCTTCAGATCAGTCCCTAGGCTCTGGTTGCAGAGCGACAATACAGTCAAGGAAGTGAGAAACTCATTCACAGGAAGACTAGCCTGTCTTTTAACCCAAGCTGGGTACTTCAATGCTGTGTCCCACCACCATATGGTGGTGGGACACACGCATGAAGACATAGGCATCCTGGCCACATTTGTTGAATTTTGTTGGCAGTTTTGCGTGAAGGCTTGTTTGCTTGCGACTTAAGTTCCCCTGCTTGCCAGACGGCGTGTTTAGCCTATGCACAGCAGCGATCAAGTCAGAACAGCGATCCCAACTTCAAACACCGCAAGACTTTCGAAGGCACGCTCATTGCCTCCCACTCCAGGTTTTTTGCGCCGAGATTGAATATCAAACACTGTCGCCAGGGTACTCCTGCAAAAGGTGGGACCACTCTTTGTCAAGCAAGGCTTGGAGTTCACCGTCGAGTTCATCGAGACAGTTACTCGGCGAGATCGTTACAGTGTTTGTTTGGACGCGCGCGTGAGTCAAGGTGAGGCTATGGTGTCAGTGCATGCCGAGCACAAGCACCTTGTATGGGGCCTACAAGACCAGAAAGTCAGATGAATCCCAGAACATGAAAGTCCCGCAGTCCTTCACATTCATGCGGAGGGAAGGCTAGGTACATTGACATGTCAGTACATTGTGCGCACTTGCACACAAAAACCAAGTAAATTGCTTGCTTCCTTGTTTGTGTGTCGCCTTTCCTCGCTTGTCAGTCATGCCAAACCTTCCAGCTGCAGATCTTGATCAAAAGCTGCCACCACGGCTGAGATCAGCAGGAAGCCAGAAAGATGTTTTCGTTATGGTCAAGGCCAACATGAGTGATTCAGGCCTCTCGCAACCACCCTTGCTAGTTTTTGCAGAATCCTTCCTTCCAGCTTGCCAACATTTCTGGAGCACCATCAACTCTACTGAGCAGACCTGTCGAGCTGTCCTGGATGAGGAGCGACGTCAGGAAATCGAATCACTCCTGAAGGCTCTTCGTGAGGACTTCCCACACTTGACCCGGACCTTCAGATACTACGAGAGCTTGCTGAACAATGACCGGCCAAGGCAGCCCTATGAACAGATTGAGTTCATCTCCAATGGACCAAGTGCAGCTGACCGGGTAGCCCGGTTGGAGCTGGGTCAGCGGCCTGATCCACCGAGGCCTCATTGGCTTCAAGTGATGTTCCATAGGAACTAGATTTGGGGTTTTGCATACAAAGCATGGGTCAACCTGGGTGATCCTTAGCTTGCCAGAGTATGCCAGATGTGCGCGCAAGATTTCCGCTGGAAAACCTTAGTGCTGTTTGATGTGTCCTTTTTGTGATGGTTATTATTTTTTTGTGCAGGTATTGATTTTACTTCTTGTCCAGCTTTCAGTGGCTCCAAGTCACCTGGAAGTTTAGGGATCCTGTGTGCTTGTTTCCGCATGGCCGTGGAGACAAAAGAAGAGGAGAAACCAGAAATTGATGCAGACCCCCTGGACCAGTTGACTGCCTATTTTGAGACAGTGGACGCCTCAACACTTTCCAAGTTGTTTGGCGAACCCATTGTTCGGCAGCATGTCTTGTTTCTAGGTTGTTGCGAAGAAGAACCTCGGGGAACATGTCAACGCAGTGTTTGGGGATGTAAGCACTCGAGAGAAGGCCAGGCTCCAGTCAGTCAATTTTGAGAGGGGCAAACCTTCTGCTTGCGTGCCCTTGCAGGTGATTGATCGCCTGGTGATGTGTGCCTTTGAGAGGGATGATGCAAGGCCTGTCTTGACTCTAGTTCCTCGCTCATCGTTGAAGGAACTATGGCTGCCCCTGAGCGCGTTCAACATCGATAGAGATGCCAAGAACGGGTGTCAGGGACTCAATGTCAAGAGTTCTGGTAGGTTTGCCAGGTGTTGAGTTTTCTGAAGATCATTGGTGCAGCACCCTTGACAGCTTGCAGTTTGGCCGCAAAACCAACAAGTTCGCCTTCATTTCAGAGAATTTCTTCGTGGCTATCGGAGCTCAGCAGAGGCGGTCGAGGTGTCCTTTCCATTCGCAGACTCCACCAGAGTCTTAAAGCCGGGCAGTGTATGCTTTGTCGACGGATTCTGCAAAGTCTTGATCATGGTGTCCATTGTTTGCTTCATTTACGAGTTGGACACATGTCGGCATTATGTCTCATGATGGATGTCATCATAGCTAGCTTTGGGTTAAAGTGTCAAAATGTTGTACGCAGCCTCGCTACCATATGCCCATATGCAGGAATGGGATGATCGGCAATTGGAACACCCGCATGTCAAGGCCATGCTTGAGAGTTTCCGTATTGTTAGATGTGCATTTACTTGGTACGACAATCCAGCTCACCACTACCTCTACAGCTTGAGAGCCTTTGCTATCGAAATAGTTTGTGATTCACAGTGTCACAGTAACTTGTTCCTTAGACTGGCACATGTGACCTGCTTAACTAAGAACAGGGATATGTCAGCTCTGAGAAGCAATCACCGAGCGCCGTCGACCTGGCGGGTACTATGAACCAAGCTATTTCTCTAGAGAGACGTTCGGGAAAAGCAGGTGTATCAAAGGCATTGAAAGACTGCCTAAACCGGGCAGTTGCAGAATACAACAAGATGGTGACGGTCCGCCGCCACCGTATAGAGAATGCCAAGAAGGGATTGATATACAACCTGTTTCTTGGACAAACCGCCAAAATGACAATGCCCAGCTGTAACACTGCAATGTAATACCTGAACAAATTTCCAAGCACCGCCAAGGCTGCGTGCACCAGATGGTTTCATCGACGTGCTCCACCAACACTATGACGGGTACCCTCACGCCTCGTCTGGTGTGATCCTGGAAGTCCTTGCCGATGACTTCTGGGTCCCTGGCAGCGTGAGTCGTCAGGACGACCCACAGTATGCAGGAGTTGGACAGTTTAAGGAGGTCTTGGAGGTGACAAAAGATGCGACCATGATGTGGCTGTATCGAGCAACAAAGGACAGTGCCAATTCTATTTTCCAATCAACAGTCAGACATGTGTAATAACAAATAGTCTGACTGAACAGCCAACATGGTATCTCAGGACTTTGAGCGCCAAGTTGGCACAGGTGATGCTACCAAGGCGAAGGTGGGGTTTCAAACACTACTGTTCACAGAGCCACCCTTGCTGTTCCCCTGTGTCAGAAAGCTGCTCAGCTCGATTTGGCTGGGCACAAGAAGCTGTTCGACTCTGCTTGCTTGTGGCTCTATCTCCGCAAGCGAATGTGTGACAACTTTCCCGATACCGTGATCAACCAGTACGATAATTTGTTTGCCAAAGGGACCATTGAATGCAGTTAGGTGGGCGTGATTTTTTTTGTGAAGTGACTTGGCCAGCGCCAAATTCAACACGAATTTGGCTAGCGCCAATTTTGTTTAAAAAAAAATCATGGGGTTTCCAGAAACCCCGTCACAAAGTCAAAAATCGATTTGGCCGGGAACGGTCCCAAATCAATCATTTGGGTTCCTTACAAAGACATATCATATTTTTCATGGGGTTTCTGGAAACCCCGTCGCAAAAACATATTGCCTCCAAAACCCAATCATTTTCCCATCTTAAAGCTGATAGGCTGCCAATGATTGGTTTCCATTTCCCTTATATATTTTTGATGGGGTTTCTGGAAACCCCGTCACAAATCTCATTGTCTGAACCAAGACCGCGGGATGATTGATTTAGCTGTGAATTTATAGAGTGTTATTTTTTGGGGATTGTTTCATATTTTTTCATGTTTCTGGCTTACTCTGCCCCTGCTCTTCTGCCCAAGGAGCCTGGACCACGATTTGGCTGGCGTGCTCAAAGCTGCGCAGCCTTTTGAGTGGGAGCGGGTGTCATTCATCCTCGAGGTGGGTTTTGAAGTGTTCAAGGGCAGTGCTATAAAACTCTCATCTCAAACTCAGTTTGGCATAGTACTCTTTCAACCTCCACAGTGGATATCAACATATGCTCACATATTACGCATATTATGGTGCTCAAACCGTTGGAGTTGTTTTCAGCAATTTAATTACAGACCTATTATATACAGACCTGAAGTCAAATGTTTTGCTTTATGTTTGCCCTGCAGATCCGTGGGCATACAGTGGAGGAGTACATCAGTAGTGCCCAGGACAGGAGCAAGAACGCCCGGGAAAGATCGATCTTGGCAGGGTTTGAGGCGTGGAAGGAGCACCTCAGAGCTGACCAAATCTCTTTCGACTCCCAACGCATTCTGACTCTTTGACGCAAGATTGAAAGCTTGTTTTGGGGTCAGTCATGAGTCATGTGCTTCCTTATCCCATATATTTGGAAAGATGCCCCCCCGACCCTATTCTAAACTCAAGGTCGACAAAGGAAGATTTGTCCCTAATGTGACCTCCATGGCAACAGTCAGGTTACAACAAGGAACCGTTCCAGCTCAGGTTTTCTGTGTTTCCTAGCGCTCTTATTTGGTTTTAAGTCGAGAATTGAGACATGAGGACTGAGAAGCACGTGGCAAAGAGACGCACAAAGCTGATTACCACATTGGAGGACATTGGTGTGCGCACTCAAGAACCATGAAAGCTAGAAACACTGACTCGCGGAAGTGCATGGAAGTACAAATTGATTTTTGAGCAAATAAGCAGTTACCAGAAACGGATTTTAACATTAATGGTTTAACTAGTTGCTCTTAATTCAATCTTTCTACTCGGGAAACTTGCAGCTACTTCAGGAGCTCCACGGCAAAGCCTGGGAGATTGTGGGAAAATACATTCGCACCAATTTGCGCTTCTTCACGGGGCGTGCAATCGATGCAGAGTCTACAATTCTCCCGGCAGTTTCCACGTGGATCAGTGAAGCACTGGGTGAGATTCCAGAGGTGAAGGATTCTTCCGATCACGGAGTCGTCCTCTGGTGCAACTTGCCGACTTGCGGAGTGCTAAGTGCTGCTAAGCATGATTTTGTTATCACATCGATTGCCAACTTGCTCTCACAGTTCCGCCGAAATTCCTGTGCTGTGCTGCTGCACCCCAACCGTGCGGGGCAACCACCAGACCGGACACATGGCATTACAGTAAGCCTTCAACCTTTTCACCCTCAAGTCTACTATCTAATTCTTTGATTTACCACTATTGGGATCTTTTTGAATTCTAAATGTGGTCAGTTAAATATCAAAGGATGTCAAAAGACCTCTCCTATTTAAGGGCAGATGTGTTGTAAGATGACTTGTCCTTAAACTTCTGGCTTGGAACTCTACCACTGACTTCTAGCAACACATCTGCTCCGCCCTTTGCCTGGCACTGCAGGAAGAAGGACAGCAAGGACGAGCCTGGCCAGGATGAAGAGGCCAAGGATGAACCAATGAAGGAGGAGTCTGACGAGGACAGTGGAGAGAAACCTGATCCCACAGAAGATGTTGATGTTCGTGATGTTCGCTACAAGCTTGAGACTCTTGGGTGAGAATGATCTGAGACGATGTTTTTCTCCTTCATCCAAAGTAGAATTCAGAACAATGTGAAACCAACAAAACAACAAACTGTGAACAAAAATTGGAATCTCTGTGTCATGCAATCCTGCTTTCGTTTCATGACCAGCTTCCAAGGAAAGAATTTACCATGAGAGATCGTGGGCTGCATGTCCGGTCTTTGACATGGGTCTTCGACAAGGCTTCTAGCCTGCAGGTACTCGAACAAACGTTGGCCCACACCCTCAACCCAGCCTATGTATTAAAGTTTAAATAAATCTGTGAGATTCCCACACGGTCACTGTAACCCGATTTATCTCCTTTGGGCGCTCAACCATACTAGAGCAGCAACCATACCAGCAACTTGTGTGGCCAACCCTCTTCACTCCCCTTGCATTCGTCAAACTGAGGAGTCTGTCTATGGACAGAGAAGTGGCAGCATCACAGGACTCTTGATCTCCCAGAAAGACAAAGGGAACTTGTTCCGACAGACTCGGGGATACAAGTCCGGCGTTGTTCACGATGTGGTCATGCTGCCACGAAACGGCATGTACAAACCGGAGGTGGCTAGGTTGCATGTTATCAAGTTTGTACAAAAGAGTTGGGCAGGGGGAGAGAATTAGACGTCGGCCCCCCCAAAAACCGAGCGTCGTCATCAACTGGTTAGATCAAGTGCAATCATGACCCCTAAATGTTCTACACCCTTCCTGAGGCTGCCAAGACCAACCTACCACACATGGGCCGTGCCTTTACAGACTTGCAGGAGAAACGCCAGGCCTGGTGGGATCAGTGAAACTTTACGAAAAGGTCAAGCCGGTCGAGTCGTACATGAGTTGTGGTGTGTACCTATGGACTAGATGCATGTGAGAATGAAATCGAACACAAATGATGTTTTCCACCTCTCAGCCCCATGTTTAGGCCATTGAATCTCTTTTGCACAATGAATTGTTTCCTGAGGAGGCTGCTGGTACAGACATTGTTCGCAAAACAATTGCAACAATCACCCCTTCGTCTATGGAAACCATGGTCGTCATTGACCTGGTTGCCTACGATTGCTTCCCTGCATTGGCGTGCTTGGAGGCGCGTAGCAAAGATATTGGAGAGCTTGCTCTTTTGGACTTAACTTGCTCTTAAGAATGTCTGGAACTAAAGCCCAATGTATTTCTGGTATTAGTTAACTCGCTGAAAATGAGCACAACTTTGCATCAAAGCTGGGCCTGGATGACCAGGAAGTTGCTGAGCAACGCCGATTCCTGTGCGGATCGGTGGTCTTGGATGCTACTGTGGACTCGCTCCAGCAACGTGTTGCCAATTGTGTTTACGATTCGGCCCGCAATGGATCGCTGGGAATTAACAATTTTCCAGCTTTTGGTCCTGTAGTTGCAGCCTTGAAGGAGAACCCAGAACATCAACCTGGATCGTTCAAAGTCTGTGTTCAGAAGCATGACAAATTGGCAATCTTGCAAAGCCTGGTTGCACCCTGGTTAGATGCTGAGAATTTGAAGGATGAGGCCAATGGCCTTATCAAGGATCATAATGAACGCTTCAACGTCGAGGGTGACTGGCTAGAGAATGACACTGCCAGGAGGGGGGCTTTGGAATTTGTAGATGATTGTCTGGGTCTAGCTGCCAGCTGATACTTCCACTGCTTCATTGTCTACCCAAACACATCTAATCACCCGCCCAGTGACCCAGTGTCACCCAGTGTGCCTCTGGCAGGAACACTGCAGATGCTGAAGCTCAAGAACGTCCTGCGAAACGCATCAAGGTGGAGAAGGAAGACAAGGTGTCCGACGAGGTAGTCAACTCCTTGACTGGCCCGTTCCTTGTCGGACTCAGCCACATATGAGCATTCTTACCATGAACACCAAGTTAGTTTTGAGTATCTCATGCGTGTATTTTCCATAGAACATGAACCATCCTGTTGTTCAGGTGCAAAGTGCAACTCAACAACATGGCTGAGCTGATCACAAATCAAGACGGCGATTGCCTCTACATGGTGTCCAAAGGCAAGAACCAGTTTCTGGCACATCGGGAATTGTTTCATGGCTCCAACTGACGTCAAGAATCAGCTTGGAGTGCTGTTCCTTTGAAGTTCTTTTGTCAATCAGCTTTGGACCCCCCCAGAAGTCATAGGTTCTCATTTGGCTCTGGAGATTGGCGAGATGGGCAGGACACTTGGCCCATTGTGCAAAGCATGATTGGGCATCCGAATCATGAATCTGTTTGACCGATACCCGCTGTCCTGGGCCAATGACTTTTCTCCAGCACCCACTTGGCCTGACTAAGGAAGCGGATGATTGCATGCAGGACAGTGCAGGAAGGTGGTTCCGATTTGCAGCTGACCAGAACATGGTTGTTGTCATGGAGAAGACAAGGGACTTAGCTCAACACCTCCACGAGTTGAACTGCATTGAAAGCCCAACAGTGCTCTCCAATGTGCTCCAAGAATTTCAAGACTCTGGAGAAGTCAGAGACCTAAAAGTTCCTAAACGTATTGAAGCATATTGCCCCACCAAGCCACCAAGCAACCCATGCCAATGTTCCCATAATATTATCCCACTTTCCCGCTGGCGAGGTGAAGCTTGCGCTGTCCCACCATCACATCAGCGACGCTGGAGAGATCACCCCCGAGAAGCCATTAATCTTTGTCTTGGACCCGCCAGATGACGGAGAAAAGAAAAAAAAGAAAAAGAAAAAAGAAAAGGGACCAACCTTAGTCAGTTTTGGGGCCAAGCTTAGCGTAAGCAAGCTGAAGGGGGCAGGCAAACTTATGATTGGTTGGCGAATGAGGCAGGGGCATATGTTTTTGTTCCCATGTGCACCTTCACACAACATCAAAAGAACCAACCTTGTTTCACCAGAATCTGTAATCTAGTTTCCTGGCAGGGTGGACAACTCAACCGCTGGAGTGAAGAAGCTAGTTCCCATTCGACCGATTTCGTGCCTCACTGGCCTGGTCGATATTGACCAAGTCAACTTCCGGCTGATGTAGAGCACCTGAACCGTTTGATGAGAGCTGTAGTGGCACAATGTGGCACACACTTGTCTGGGGAAAAACACCAAAATATGGGTCTGATTATATTAGGTTTGTACAAAACATGTTGTCCACACAATAATACTTTCTCTACTGTGCAGTTTCCAAATATGTTGCAATTTGTTTCTGAACCAGAGTGGGGTAGTGTGTGCCTGTGCCCAAGTGGTAGAATTTTGGATTCTCAGCCCTGCTCCAAACTGCAATACCACTGAGTAATGACTCCAATTACCTTTTATCAACCAAATTTGATGTTTTCAGGGTTGAGTTAAGCTTCCCACGTGCTTTCTGTGGCTATGCTCGCACTTCTTGCGGTGAAAACCGTGAAAACCCGATGTTGCAAGAACATCTAGACAAGTAAGCGTATGAATGTTTGGTGTTTGGAAGGGCCAAGGGAACACTGGAGTTTCATTGCCCCTTTCTGTTGCATAATGTAGATTATCAAGGTTCAAGCTGTTGAAGGTAGTTTGATTTGAGAGTCGAAGCAAATGTCCCAGTTGCGTAGGAAGGACACCTGCGCTCAGAGTGATGGGGCGGATTCAGATCTGGAAGTGGTGATCCCTTCGCCAACAGCAGTGTTCCGCCCACCAGACCCATGGCTCAACCAGATTTCACTGTGAACTTTGTGTGCACCCAAACAATCAAGTGGCTTCTTGACAAACAAACAAGTGCACCCTGAAAGTAGTCTTGTGCAAGGCCTTTAATCTCAACACTCTGGTGCCGCAGTCTTCGTCTCGCGCTGCCCCCCGTGCAGCTTCGACCAAAGTCAGCGCCTCCAACACAGCCAACAACGCTCGACCGTCCTGGCCAAACAAATCCCGGAGGCAATTTAGAACTGCATGCTTCAAGTTTGAGTTTAAAACGTGTTTCTCAAACCTACTACATGTTTGATATTGGACAGGTGCTGCTTCGGGATCCAAGCGGCTATCCGATGAGACACTGCCAGGGAGGTTCTCTTCAGAATCATCACCCGATGGTCCCAAAACTGAGGAAAGAGTTACAACTGGTAAGCCAGCGGCAAAAACAAAGAAGCCAAAGAACCAGAAAAAAACCGAACAGGAAGATGACGAGTCGCCCCCCTCCCCAGAGCACAAACCCTTGGGTCATGGAAAGAAAGATGATGACAGTGATGATGAGCCAGGTTCAGGTTCAGACCCTGAAAATCTGGCTGATAGTTTGGGGATGAGAAAAGGTGGCAGGACCATGAAGCGACCGTCTCGCAATGATGGTGGAGCCAAGAAGAAACCTGCCAAAAAGGGGCGGCAGGCGTGGTTTTCATTTTGTGTTCTCCATCTTGGTCTTAGCTTCCAACCCTCCTTCAAAGTTGCAACCAGCCCTGCAGGCACCTTTTGAGTATATGATTGAAGGAATGCCTTGCCCTTAGTGCAAATAGATGGTCTGCAAAATGCAAAGCAAACTGAGCTGTTTGCAAGTTATTGTTTGGTGATGTTTTTGACCTGACCTGGTGCAAAACAAACATTTGCCTGACCTTTTACGGAGAATGATCTCACCAGTGGCGAACTGCCTGTAAAGAATCCAGGCTTTCTAGAGCTTCCAGAATGTGGAAACATGGGTCTTCCAGTTCAAAACCAGTCGGACGACAAGATGGTCAGCGAATTAAAATGAGTTGATCTCTTCACAATGCAAAACATACTCTCCCCATCCTAGGACACAGCAGGGCTCTGCTCGACCTTCCACAGATGAGGCCCATAGAAACCTTCTTAATGGTCAGAAAAAGTAAGGGCCACACGTCCCAACTTTTAGCTGGCCCAGGAGATGGTTTTGACATCCTTCGAGGTTCCTGACCCCACTCATGAGAGCCTTGGTCCAAACCTTGTTTCTATTGCCTGCCTGCCCGCCCCTTCACCCTCGTATCCGTCATTCAGCCTCCATCCAGGCTAGGTGATGCTCCTGCAACGGAGCCTGCAAGCGGTGACGGTGAGCTGCCCAAAGAGTGGCCGCAGTGGAGCCCAAGCTTGGTGAGAATTCACAATAGGCATTAGACTTGTTTGTGCTATTTTGTGCTCAAGCTTAGAGAGAATGTGCATTGGGTATTGGACTTGTTGGTATTCAAAAGCTTAGGAGTGACGTATACGGCGGCGATATTCCGGGGCAAGATTTCTATTGCCTCAATGTCATTCCTGGAGATGATACTTATCCCCCTTGCAATGCGACAGAGACTGAGAGCTGCCCCTCCGTGACCAAGATGATTGATGTTGCTTCTCCATCCCCAGTGGAATACCACCCGGACAACCAACTGGGGTTGGACCAAACTCCTTCCTACAAGGTGCCATGACTTCATCTTAGTACTAGACAATTACAGTATGTGCTAGCAACAAGTATATAGGCCAACATCAGCCTACTGTGTTTTATATGTTTCTTGGAGGTATTTCATCGTGGTGAGCGATTCAATGCGGATGATTTGTCTGGCCTCAGTGAAAAGGACCAGCAGTGGTCAGCGTCCATCATGTTGACCTGAGCGTATGGCACACCATAGAACTGCGCAACTTCAACGAGATGTCGTTTTCCTGTTCCCGGGACCAGGGTTGGTTCATGTTTTACATTGGGTTTGGCTTACATGGTTTGCCCAACTCAACTAACCAAATGAGTACAATTTGACATGCATACCGACCGTTGTGTAATTTGACATCAGGACTTATTCGGGGACAGTGTGGAAGCACTTGTGGATACATCGCTTCCAGATGATGGCAGTACAGCACTGCCCAATGAGCCTGTCACACCTGCTGATGACATGGACAGTCAGCCTGTTGAAGTAGTTGACAAGCGCAGCATTGAAGAGCAAACATTGCCCAGTCCTGACTCACCCCCAGATCCTTTGCCTGAAAGTAAAGAACCAATGTCTCCAGTCCCAGCCGCCTTGGCACGACCCCAACCCACTCCGGCCCGCGCAGCCCCGAAAGGAAAGGCGAAGGCGAAGGTAAAGGCAACAGCATCAGGCAGGTCCAGTGCCAAACCAAAGGCATCAGCCAAACGCACAGCAGCCAAACGTGCAGCACAGCCAAAGAACGCCCCCAAGCCCGACGCACATGCAAGAAAGCCCAAAGATGAGGTTGAGAAGAAACTTCATTCCGTTTCTATGGCTTGCCTAGAAACACTATACTTGCAACATCTTGCAACTATGTGTCTATGGATTATACAATGCAGCACGTCAAATAATTATGATGCTATTTTCTCCATGTGCAGAATCTCAGGTTTATTCGACTGCCTGGTCTTCGGCAAAGCGAGCAGGTCTTTCGGATGGAGCGGCCAAGGAGGCTGCAAATTCAGAGAGGAAGAAGCACCCCAACTGCGACTCATTCAGTGTCAGCTTGAATCATGGTGTGTGTGTGCACCCACGGTTGCAGTGTGTTTTAAAGCTAAGGTGGATTCTGAATTGTGGGCCCAGGGATCACTGGAAAATCCAGGCCTTCATTGCTAGCTTTGGCAGACCTGATGAATCTTAGATTCATCATGACTCATCTATTTTGTACCAGCTGAATCTGAGCTCGGGACAGACAAGAACGAAGGCTTTGAATGGGAGTCGAGCCAAGAAAAATTGCTGCTGTGCCGTGCTCCGTGACACAGTGACCCAGGCTCATGACAAAGGCTCACTTGTCAATTGGAAAAGGGTCGATATCAACTAGACTTCACTATAGATATAGCTATAGATACTTAATCATAATTGACAAGACACGCCATCAGTGTGTGTATACGAAAGAGCCGTTCACCACCGGTCAAGTCTCGTGTCATGAGACATGCCGCACCGTGTTCGAGCCCGACAGGTGAGCCAGGGGCGTCAGACGCGGTGCGTCACCCTCGGCCGAACTGGGAAGCACCGTCGGCAGTTGTTGTTCCTGGGGGTGGGGTTCTGACTCCTCATGTTCCAGTGGGGGTCTGAAAATCCCTAAAAGGGGTTATATACCAGGACCCTCCAAGGGGTGTCTATAGCCCCTTAGCGCTATAGCTGTGATTCGGGGTGTGTCCATTAACCACCCCGACTGGGGTGTCCTGGCAACATGGTGTTGTTTCAAGTGATCGTTTGCTTTGGATCCTTGGGCTGGGCACGATCACAAGTGAATGGCTGAGTGAATGGCCCGGCTGGGCTCGGCTCGGCTCGGGTTCAGCTTCTCTTCAGGGTATTTTGCCCCAGACAAGACGCGTGCAAGGGATGTTGGAGTCTGATGTGTTTGGAGAAGACAAAACAGCTGGTATGTTGACAACAAAAACCCATGATCCGGCCAACGGCAGGCTATTTTACTCTTCGAATTTTGTTGAATCGAAGAGCAATGGAGAGCAGATCAAGATCAGGCCGTCAGTCATGCACAATGACTAGACCGATGACACATGTCAGATATTTCATCATTTGCAAACAATACAAGGTTTACTGGGAACCAAAACTGCATACCATGTTTTTTGTGTTTTAACGGTATGATCTCCATCAGTATCGTCCATGCACTATTTCAAGAACCAGGACCTCAAAGGTCCCTGTTGTGAGCGCTTTCCGCGGCTTTCCGGATCGGTTGCCTCGCCGATTTCGCTCGCGAGGCTGGTAGCTCCTTAGCGTATTAGTTCCGTTCCATGGCCTTCCCCATGTCTTCCGGCGGCCTTGCGCCGCTCCCGCGCTCGCCGCTCCCATGTGGGCCCACGTGCTGGAGCAGAGCAGCGGTGCCGTGCCATGAAAGGGCCGGCCGTTGGTGCGGGGGTGGGTGTTCTCCTGGAATAGAGAGAGAACTCCCTTGCCTGAACCCTAAACAAGATAAACACTCACATTTTAAGCCATTGGTTGGGGGTCTCAGGCCGTTATTTAATCAAATTCTAAATCCATATGGCCTGAGGAACTTCCGACGTGAAGGACTGCAGCACATTCGGCCCCTGTGGTGACAAGACGTCAGCATTCAGCTTGGGACTAACGTCCGCTCCTTTTGTGTGCACCATGGTGGTGTCTACAGCACCTGTGCCAT